CTTTTGGGGAGATATTTAATATTCATAGGTATGTTAATTTGTTTACGTACTGGTTCCCATTGATGATCTCTGTGTTTCATCTCATAGAGACATCACTTGGGAATGTAACCAGTATAGATAAACATGGTAGCGGCTAAATTTTAATTCTTAGGAGGTCCAAAAATGGAGGTAAGGGTAGTATAGAATTTTAGTATAAGTTTAAACTCTTAGAAGTTCAGGGCATATAAATGTTGAAAATATGCCGCACAGCCCTATATTTAGACCTTTGAATAAAATAGTAGTGCATATAAACTTTCCGTTCTGGGATATTATTTTTCACGAAACTTCATAGTAAAAGTGTCACAGTTTTAGCCGCAAAGGGAGTTCCTATGGGAAATTGCATTGTCTGTATTTACAGAATTGCAACCTATAAGCCTTATGTCTTTTATTACGTAGATTAGTTTATCCTAGTCGCCTTTCAGACCTTAAATCTGTATTCGGACGCTCTGAACTGCTATGTTTATAATCATTAATACAGTACTGAACTTTGTCTACGATGCTCATTACCATCTCCTACATGATTTAAACAGTAATTGATTATCGCACAGGCATTTACAGGAATACGCTGACCGTTCGACCCTTATGTATACCAACTACAAATCAGCGCATTCTGTTTAATGGTCATATAAGAGTCCACGCTATAAAATTTCAAATCATAGTTGGTCGTAATGGACTTGAAGCAAACATGTATGGTCCAATTGAAGGTCGAAGGCATGATGCCAGACTACTACGAGAGAGTGGTTTTTGTAGAGAACTTTAGACACATATGACAACCCCAACTGGTGACATTTATGTTATTTGCGGTGATCCGGCTTACCCCATGACTACACACATCATAAAACCTTTCCGAGGAGGAGTAATTTCAGCAGCACAGGCACGATTCAACAAGAAGATGTCTGCCGTGAGAACATGTGTGGAATGGACTTTTGGCAAAATTTTGACTTTGTTTGCATTTTTGGACTATAAGAAAAACATGAAGTTGTATTTGCAACCTGTAGAGAAATATTACTTGGTTGGCACTATTCTTGTAAATTGTCATACTTGTCTATACGGTAGCGAGACTGGACATTATTTTGACATTGATCCATCAAGTTTGGAAAATTGTTTGTCTGGATGAAGCTATATACACTACGTGTAATTCGTTTTTGTTGTACAATTGATGTGAACTTTGTCTTGAAAATAAAATAAATATTGTTGAAAATATTTAATCTTAAATGTCTAATTCAAGATCCAGATCATATGGCACGCCTAAATAAAATTGATAGGGTGTTACTTTTAATTCCACTATACATTTCTCATAAATATATTGCCAGAAATTCCTTGAAGGCGTATATGTTATCAATTTTTACCAGCCTTCTCATCTCCGATTTCATTTGGTTAAAAATTACTGCATCTCCCCCTTGAAAAAAAGGAAAAGGAAAAATAAAGTTTCATGATTCCCCTTTTGAAATAATAGGAAATTTCCCCATATGAATATTTGTACTTAGTTTCAAGTTGATGTGACTCCATCTTCATCATGAACTACCTTGACAAAAAATGTAACCTGATAATGTACTGTTTTTACACTATCATTTTTCTTTGAACCGTAAAATTGGGGTCAAAATCTTAATTCAGCAAACACTTTATTCCCCGAGGGTAACACCAGCCCAGTAGTCAGCACTTCTGTGCTGACATGAATTATCATTGATATGGTCATATTTATAAATTAACTGTTTACAAAACTTTTGAATTTTTGAAATACTAAGGCTTTTCTACCTCAGGAATAGATTACCTTAGCTGTATTTGGCAAATTTTTAGGAATTTTGGTCCTCTGTGCTCTTCAACTTCGTACTTTATTTGGCCTTTTTAACTTTTTTGGGTTCGAGCTTCACTGATGAGTCTTTTGTAGACGAATCGCGCCACTGGCGTAAATACAAAATTAATCCTGGTATCTATGATGAGTTTTTGTACAACCACTGGGTCGATGTCACTGCTGGTGGAGTTTTAATTCCCCGAGGATATCACCAGCCCAGTAGTCAGCACTTCTGTGCTGACATGAATTATCATTGATATGGTCATATTTATAAATTAACTGTTTACAAAACTTTTGAATTTTTGAAATACTAAGGCTTTTCAACCTCAGGAATAGATTACCTTAGCTGTATTTGGCAAAACTTTTAGGAATGTTGGTCCTCTGTGCTCTTCAACTTCGTACTTTATTTGGCCTTTTTAACTTTTTTGGGTTCGAGCTTCACTGATGAGTCTTTTGTAGACGAAACGCGCGTCTGGCGTAAATACAAAATTAATCCTGGTATCTATGATGAGTTTATTTACAACCACTGGGTCGATGCCACTGCTGGTGGAGTTTTAATTCCCCGAGGATATCGCCAGCCCAGTAGTCAGCACTTCTATGCTGACATGAATTATCATTGATATGGTCATATTTATAAATTAACTGTCTTCAAAACTTTTGAATTTTTGAAATACTAAGGCTTTTCTACCTCAGGAATAGATTACCTTAGCTGTATTTGGCAAAACTTTTAGGAATTTTGGTCCTCTGTGCTCTTCATTTTCGTACTTTATTTGGCCTTTTTAACTTTTTTGGATTCGAGCGTCACTGATGAGTCTTTTGTAGACGAAACGCGCGTCTGGCGTAAATACAAAATTAATCCTGGTATCTATGATGAGTTTATTTACAACCACTGGGTCGATGCCACTGCTGGTGGAGTTTTAATTCCCCGAGGATATCGCCAGCCCAGTAGTCAGCACTTCTGTGCTGACATGAATTATCATTGATATGGGCATTTTTATTAATTAACTGTCTTCAAAACTTTTGAATTTTTGAAATACTAAGGCTTTTCTACCTCAGGAATAGATTACCTTAGCTGTATTTGGCAAAACTTTTAGGAATTTTGGTCCTCTGTACTCTTCAACTTCGTACTTTATTTGACCTTTTTAACTTTTTTGGATTCGAGCGTCACTGATGAGTCTTTTGTAGACGAAACGCGCGTCTGGCGTAAATACAAAATTAATCCTGGTATCTATGATGAGTTTATTTACAACCACTGGGTCGATGCCACTGCTGGTGGAGTTTTAATTCCCCGAGGATATCGCCAATCCAGTAGTCAGCACTTCTGTGCTGACATGAATTATCATTGATATGGTCATATTTATAAATTAACTGTCTTCAAAACTTTTGAATTTTTGAAATAGTAAGGCTTTTCTACCTCAGGAATAGATTAACTTAGCTGTATTTGGCAAAACTTTTAGGAATTTGGTCCTCTGTGCTCTTCAACTTCGTACTTTATTTGGCCTTTTTAACTTTTTTGGATTCGAGCGTCATTGATGAGTCTTTTGTAGACGAAACGCGCGTCTGGCGTAAATACAAAATTAATCCTGGTATCTATGATGAGTTTATTTACAACCACTGGGTCGATGCCACTGCTGGTGGAGTTTTAATTCCCCGAGGATATCGCCAGCCCAGTAGTCAGCACTTCTATGCTGACATGAATTATCATTGATATGGTCATATTTATAAATTAACTGTCTTCAAAACTTTTGAATTTTTGAAATACTAAGGCTTTTCTACCTCAGGAATAGATTACCTTAGCTGTATTTGGCAAAACTTTTAGGAATTTTGGTCCTCTGTGCTCTTCATTTTCGTACTTTATTTGGCCTTTTTAACTTTTTTGGATTCGAGCGTCACTGATGAGTCTTTTGTAGACGAAACGCGCGTCTGGCGTAAATACAAAATTAATCCTGGTATCTATGATGAGTTTATTTACAACCACTGGGTCGATGCCACTGCTGGTGGAGTTTTAATTCCCCGAGGATATCGCCAGCCCAGTAGTCAGCACTTCTGTGCTGACATGAATTATCATTGATATGGGCATTTTTATTAATTAACTGTCTTCAAAACTTTTGAATTTTTGAAATACTAAGGCTTTTCTACCTCAGGAATAGATTACCTTAGCTGTATTTGGCCAAACTTTTAGGAATTTTGGTCCTCTGTGCTCTTCAACTTCGTACTTTATTTGGCCTTTTTAACTTTTTTGGATTCGAGCGTCACTGATGAGTCTTTTGTAGACGAAACGCGCGTCTGGCGTAAATACAAAATTAATCCTGGTATTTATGATGAGTTTATTTACAACCACTGGGTCGATGCCACTGCTGGTGGAGTTTTAATTCCCCGAGGATATCACCAGCCCAGTAGTCAGCACTTCTGTGCTGACATGAATTATCATTGATATGGTCATTTTTATTAATTAACTGTCTTCAAAACTTTTGAATTTTTGAAATACTAAGGCTTTTCTACCTCAGGAATAGATTACCTTAGCTGTATTTGGCAAAACTTTTAGGAATTTTGGTCCTCTGTGCTCTTCAACTTCGTACTTTATTTGGCCTTTTTAACTTTTTTGGATTCGAGCGTCACTGATGAGTCTTTTGTAGACGAAACGCGCGTCTGGCGTAAATACAAAATTAATCCTGGTATCTATGAGTTTATTTAGAAAGATCATAACATGAGGAACATGTGTACTAAGTTCTACATCATCATAAACTGCCTTGACCAAAAACTTAAATTGATACGAGACAGACTGACGGACGGACATGCAGACCAGAAAACATGATGCCCCTTTACTATCAAAGGTGGGGCATAATTAAAGGTATAAGTAAGACAGTCACACACGAACCATTGACCAAGGTACTCCTGTCTTGGAACAGGTAAACGTCAAATGTGGTGGGATAAAACTAAAATTGTGGCATCTTATTTCAAGGAGACCATGAGTCATCAACCCACCAAAACAAAATTAAACCAAGCATTTTACCATTTCATTAACGAATCGCACAATATGACACAATGATGATGAAAAATTACAGCAAATTTAGAGTAATCAATATTTTGTATAATATCAATATAATTTATTTTCCTATTTACAAAAATATCAGCTAACTCAGTTCTTGTCCGCGAGCTTTCTAAACATTTAAAAAATCATCATCTTTTCCTGTCTTTGAATATCCATTCTCTGTCTCCTCTCGTTTTTCTCCATCTCAAATTTCTCCCTCTCAAACTGTAGTTGTTGTTTCTTCATTTCCATCTCCTCTTTCCTTATTTCTATCTCTGCTTCTTTCTTTTCTTGCAGATATGAAAGAATGTTGTTGGATTATTTTGATTTCTTTGGTTTAATAGCTTCTTCTACATCACAATCTGTAAACAGAAGGTCACATGAAAATATTTTCTTTCCAATTAAAGGTTAAAAAAATAAAATAATAAATTATTGTGCTTATGATTTACCTCTGTAATTCAAAAACGTCTGCAATAAAATGCATGTTTCAAATCAACGGGAAAATAAAAAAAATGTTCTTACCATCTCTGTTTTAGGGACAAATGAAGATAGAAATAAAAAGATAGTTTACAGCAGAACCAAACATAACCACAACCATTTTTTTTTTCAAACTGATTGAGCAGAGTCATTTTATACAAATTGTATTGTAAATATAGAATACCAAAAATAAACTAAAATTCTCATTTTAACTTACCTTTTGTGGTTGTCAGGGTTTCTGATGCCCTTTTTCTAATGTCAAGGGAAGCTGTTTTTTCTTTATCTGCATCCTTTTTCCTCTCTTTTTCCTCCATCAACCCTATCACCTCCTCCAGTAAATTTTCTCGTTCGCTATATTCCTCATTTATACTTGATCTAAAACATATAAATTAAATGTAAAATCATAAATCAAGCAGAATTAGTTCAATTATACTCCATTGGAAGGCTTTATATTTGAAACTAAATCAAACACAAAACCAAAAGAACTTGCACTAATATTTGATTTGAAAGCTAATAATTTTAATGACTCTTTTATTTTAAACACTTTTACCACTTTTAATAAATCTTTTTCATTCCAGTTCTTAAGTCAAAGGCAATTGATTTGAGGGGGCTGCTCATTTTCTGGAAAAAATTCTTTTTATTTTTATTAAAAAATGTACCAATGTACAAAATGTAAATAAGACACGCCCTGGAAAATCACTTACTTTTTCAAGTTTTCCTGATTACCTTTTTTGAATTGAGCAATTAACAAGTTTGTCCTCTCTCTAGCCCGTCTCCCATCTACTAAGAAGGTTGTTGTTGAGAGTTTTTCGCCTATCTCTATCCACTTCCTTTTATTCTGGAATGGATTTTCTAATGTGACCTCCTTCAGCAGTTTAATATCATCAGCCACAGAAAATCTTGCTTGCTTTTTTCTTGCAGGAGTACAAGAAGCCATCTTAAAGTGCCCTGTAAGATACGAAATCTTTTGTACAAATCAAAATAAACGTATGAAACTTGTAATTTGTTAACAATATTATGGTAAAGATATGGATGGGGTGGAAGACTCTATTACAGAGTCAATTTAGAAGGGAATGAGGGGATGTTTTAACACCTCCCCTCCCCCTTTTTCGGGATCTTGTATTTATTATTCACTTTGTTTTCCTCCGTTGGTAGCAAAGTATTGCGGCACAGTCAATCAAAGGGAAATATTCATCATAAAATTCATTTTAGGTACATTTCAGTTTTAAGTGCCCGCTTAGCGGCCCATATACTTCTTTTCATTTGTAAACAACAAAATAATATCCTGAATTCAATGTAATTAGAGCTGCATACTCCCGAGAGAAAAAAAAGGAATTATTTAACTGCTATTTTCATTGAAAAAATGTTCAGAAAAACCAATTTTTTTTTACTTACGTGTAAATCCGGCCTTACAATTTCCCAATGGCGTGTACTTGTAAAACGTCGCATATATTGGTGACGTATAATGCACTGCATCAGGGAATTTCCCTACTGCCCGTACACGTTCACGTACAGGTCTGCTTTGCTAAACCTCTCTATTATTGCGTTACGTTTACGTGTAACATTGAAATAAAACCAGTAAAATGTTAAAAAATATACGTTATTTAGTAACTCATCTTTAACATTATATATTTTATGTTCTAATAACGTTGCTTGAAAGTTATGATTATGAAATACATATTTGTCTTTTTTCCTAATGTTAATTTAACGTTATACTATTAACGTTTGTATTTGAACGAATTAATAACGTTAAATGTATACCATAGTTCAATGTCTAAATAACGTCATTGAAAAACGTTAATTGATAAAATTTATATAATTTTAAATTAACACAATAATTTAACGTGAGAATACAAACCATGGTATAACTTAATATTCCACTCTGGAATATGACGTCATTTATTTATTTTCCTCTAAAATTATCTTGATTTTCACTTTTCTTTGCTGTAATGACAAATTACTCGGTCTACAGCAGTTGGCCGAGTATCCTTGTGAATGAGTCACTGAATAACCAGGAATATTATCCAGTGAATTCATATTAATAAGTAGTTAGTTAGTTTTACAATTCATAGTTAATACAAACATTTTTTGAAAATATGTAGTCACATGATTACGGAAAATGTACAGTTTTGTCCGGTTTTGTTTCTAAGAATTAGAACTTTATGATCATTGACCTTTATATCCTTTTGTAAATAACCGTTATTGCGTTAATCAGTTTTTTTGATGAATGAAAGCGTCTTATTGACTGTTCTCGCAAACAGCTTAAACTTCAATCAAATATTGTAAGTGGTAAGTCTCAACATTCTAATTGACCTGTCATGTGATAAATTATGCGCATATGAGTTTGGAGACAACTACATGTACTGTACTTTCGTTTTCAGTAAGCATGCTGTTTTAGTTTATTATATTACCACGTGTTCATATCTATTTAATACATACATGATTTTTTTTTTTACAAAATATAAAATATACGTGATCGGTATGATTCTTGTTGGGATATTATTTGCTTTATACCAGCTCTGTAATATGTTCAAGTAAAATGAGGGTAATGTATTATTTAAATTGGGTAAATTGAGTTTATGTTGCATCATATGAAATATAAGGTTGTTTTTACCAAATTTGTTAAAATAATATGTGTGAATGACTTTCCAATTAGCAAATTCCTTTGCAGTTAATCGCTTAACCCATGAAATTTGTAATGCATTTAAGAAATTATCAATGTCTGTCATTTTCTGACTCCCATTTGTGTGATCTTTGCTAAGTATTGAACGTTTTTCTTCTTCTTGTTTATTGTTCCATATAAATTTGTACATAAGTTTTTTGAAATATTTTATGTACATTTAGGGTATGGAAACAATTAAGGCTAAAAAAGTAAGATTGGTTAAAATAAGTGACATAACAATTGTTATTCGACCTATCATTGTTAAATTTCTTTTTTCCCCATCAAGTATTTTTTTTTTTACTGTTTCATTATTTTTTTATATCTAATATGTCACATTTGTCTTTATCTAATCCAAAGTAGACACCTAAAATTTGTATTGGTTCTTTGCTCCAGTGTATAATTTCAATTTTTTCTTTACAATGTTTGAGTTTATCCAACCATTTGCCTTCTGTTTTAGGTTTATTGGGTTTTAAACCAGAAAGTGTTCCAAATATTTCTATTAGGTTCAATGCTAGGCAAATTTCATTTCTAGAATTGAGAAAGAGGGTTGTGTCATCAGTCAATTGCGAAATATTTAGACTTTGCGATCTATCATCAAGTTTAATTTGAAAACCTTTAATGTTAGAATCTTGTATTACTCTACAGTCCAGGATTTCAACTGCTAAAACAACAATTAGAGAACTTAACGGACATCCTTGTTTTATCCCACGGTGAAGACTATACATAGGTTTCTGAGATCCAGCCGTTAATCGACAGGCACCCTTTAGAACCATTATATGAAAATTTAACCCATTTTAAGAAGGAGTGTGGCAATCCAAATTTTAATAGGGATTCGTACATGAAGGGCCATTCCAAAGAATCGAAGGCTTTGGAAATTTCAGAAAGAGACTAAGATGGCGTTCCATTAAATGTAGTAGAAAATTGACTATTCCTTTTGTTTATGTTTTATCTATTTCGGAATTTTAATTTACCAAAAGCAAAAAAGTAATGTAATTAATGGTAAGTAAAACTAAATAGTTCTGTCAATCTTTTGTAGAGAAACCTACCACATGTTAAATATGCATTTATTTGAGATTTTCGATGCAAGACTGTATGGTCCTTAGTCTTATAATAAACGTTGAACGATGAAAAGCTTTAGTTCTTTAAAGCAAAAATCAATGTATAGCCGTGTTACTTTTAGTAAAGGAAACATATTTGCTTTATATAATTCTACCATTATTCCATGCTTTAAGACAATCCCGTATTACGTTTGGTATAACGTCGAAGAAACGTTCGTGTAAAGTTTAACATAACGTGTATAAGCAATGTTGAAATACGTAAATTTAATGTTAAAGTATAACGTTTTTCTCTATAAGAAATTATAACGTAACAGTTATACGACAGTACAACGACTGGATAACGTTTGTTCAAATACGTAATTTTTCAATATTTATGTAACATTAAATGAACATATTAATTTACGCTTAATTAGTAACCATTCTTTAACATGATGTCACACGCTAGTAAATGATGTCATTTACAAAAGAAGAAAAGAAAGAGTGCCATTTCCATGATTACAAGATTGAAAATAAGCAATTCTTTGTTTACATTTAAACATTTATGCACTTCGATCGTTACGCTAGAAGCAAATTTGGAAGTTTGTGAAATGTCGGTAAGTAAAACATTCTATTTTGCCCATTTTTTTTTCTTAATAATACGACCTGAATAAACATTGGCCAATTGATTGGCTTATTTTTATTTATTTGTACTTTGTCCAAGATCAATTTTATCCTTTCCAAAACTCATCCGGTAACAAATTGTAAATACGCCTAAACTTGATGGTTAGTTGATTTTGGACCAGCACTGAATATAGTTGATAATCTATATCGCTTATTTGGGGACGTAGTGACGACCATTTGATTTTCTTATATAATGTTATATACCACTGTTATTCCTTTAATAAATTATAATTCAGATATTAAATGATTAAAAGAAGGAATTTTATTTTTGTATTAGAGTATGGTATCATTTTTCTATATTCTAAAGAATATTCTTGGTTTTCAATTCTTTTAAAGTGTTTAAGATGTCTATTCTGGATCAAGATAAAGATGCACTCGTGTCCTTCCTATTTAAGTTTATATATTTTATGTAATATATAAACGACAGACACTGAAACTGATTATTTTAAGGGGCGTTTATTTCAGGGATATTGCTGGTTCCTTCGGACATCTTAAATTCCGCTTTTATAGATATAATTAATATGCTCTCCACTAGAAAGAAGTAAACAGTGCAGATTACAAGATTTTCAGGGCATATGTTTTCTACTTGTACATTGGAAATTAAAGTATAGCTAATGTACTTCTTTCACTGAACGGTTAAAAAGGCAAGAACAGTTTAGTGTCAGTGATCTACTGGAGATTTAGTCCAATAAAGTTTTAGATTTTACAGGACCAGCTCATAGGAACAAAATAAAAATAGTACAATCTGAATTACAATTTTTCTCACAATTAACTTCAAAATCCTATTCCAACTGTTTTTTCCAATCAACCAGCCTTTACAATATCCATCCTTCAAATCTATTTTCATATAACACATAGTTCATTTCTTTCACTGCCCCTCGACTAATTTCATCCAAATAAATTATTCATGTTTTAAAGCAAGATGAGGATCCCGATAATTATCCGTTTTTGATCATATGTTTTACCACCCGCTAAGGAGAAAAGACACATCGATGTTTTAATGTTTGGACTGTCATCTGCTGGAAAATTTGTACACTACACAGTAGTGGGGGAAGTGGGGGTTCTGGGCCATTATGTCTAATGTTAACCATATGGGGAAAAGGTAGCCTCCTGAGAGGTAGCCTCCCAATGTGAGGCTAATTTCTATGACGTCATTTTTAGGTATTATTTCTGCACTTCTGATTTTTAGGTATTATGACATTAATTAATTGGTTTTATTGAATAATGTACAGATGTTTATCACTTTTTGAGTATGTGTGTGTATTTGTGTGTGTGTGTTTGTGTGTATCGATTCAAGGTTTTGCTCATGCAAATATGAGCAAGGAATTATCCAATTTGATTCTCCTTTTGTGTGATTGTATTCCTATTTTTTTTTTTAAAAGTTTCTGCTTCTTGGTACTACATTAGTAATAATAACAACAATAGTATGTACAATATTTAATATCCCCGTTAATTCAGACAAACATGGGTCGGAGAGCCATCCACATGGTGTCTTTACAATATAACAAAATTATATATAACTATTTTATACATCGAGATAAAAGGATTAGAGAATCG